ATAGTATTGTCTAGGCATAGAAATACATGCACATGTCCGAGCTGAGATATTTTTAGCTGATAAATTATAAAAAATTAAATACTTTATTTACAACTTGAATATATGATTTCTGGTTCTTTTGCTTTTCAAAAACTTTTTCTTGGAGCACTGAACTTGCAATTAATACTTATTTTCATAGTGATAGTTCGTTTTAAAACTAAGAAAGGCTTGTTGAACATGAAATGTTATGATGGATAATCCCCTTTTTCTTATACTAGTTCTCTTTTATCCAACTGACGCAATCGTTTAAAGTGGAATGTAAATATCTTCAGCGTTAACACACACCATGTGCAAACATTAGAGTGAGATAGAGAGAGAGAGAGAGAAAACTATGATTGCATGTTTGGATACCCTGGTGAATACAGTGGTAGAGTTAGGTCTTGATTTAAGGGTTGTCAATAGTGCAGTTATTGACAAGACAACAATAGTCTGGAGCAGATTTTAGGCCAAAATGGATCACCCTGTTTAGTTGATACAGATAAGTCAAGAAAAAATGTCTTAAGTTGAATAATAGAAAAATATGTTATTGCTGTATTGTCAAACTAGATTTCTTGATACAGATATGATCTTCATCATTGGGCTAGTTGAAAATTTTAAAGGGAGTAATTAGTGGCTCACTGACACCCTTGAACATTTTTTTAGCTAACAACTAAATTATATTGCACGACTACTTTTAAACGTGTTTATTCACTCTCTCACCCTAGTCCTTCCTTGCTGCTGACTATAGCCTGCCGCTCTTTCCTTCTGCTGGTGTGTGTGTAGCGGCACTGCGGCAGGCTGGAGTTAACAGACTATATGAGGAAAAGACATGCTTCTCCATTGCATGAGGAGGCACAGGAAGATGGTCTCCCCCTGCCCTATTGCCATCCCTAGTGATTACTCAATCCATACTAACTACCTTGAGGTTGAGGCAATTGTGTTGGGTATTTTTGGACATTTGTGAAAGGTTACAGTAGTATTGCTTTGCCTCTAACCAATCCAATGAAAGGACTACGGTTTCTTGGAGTCAAGAGGTGGAGGAAGCTTCCAATCAACTAAAAACAACGATGATCCACCCTTCCATATCAAGACATGGTTCGGAGGAGGCCTGCTTGCATAGTTTAACCAAGTCCTTCCCAAGCAAGTCAGGCAGAAGTTTGTTTACGTGAGAGTTTGTGGCAATTCTCTTATCTATGAAAAACCATAGGCTATGCTTTTGGGGAGCAAGTTCTTAATTCTTAGGATCATAGCAGTTGGTGAGTGTATATTCTTACATGTTTCTCAGTGAAAGCTTGGTTTCTTATAAAAGAAGTGCAGTTGGTGAGTGTTGAGCATTACAGGTGGTTAAGGTGGTTAATGATATAGGCTTGTTTCGTTAAAAAGTATATGTATACATTGTTGATTAAGATTTGAGAATAAGGCCATGAATGCATTATCTACATTCCTTGCTAATGTCACTCTAGCATCCATTTCTATTATACTCGAGGATTACCTAGCTCAGTAACACAAACTTCAGTAACTATAAACTGTAAATAAAAATTATTAGCCAGTAAGCCCAACCTCAGTCGCACAAACTTCGGTAGCTATGTCCTACATTACATCAATTAAGTTTAAGGCTGGTTTTGGATGTTACAGTTCATATTGTCATAACCATTGCTTTGAGTCTTTTTTAACACCATCTGAAGTGGTCAAACTTCATTTCTGGCTGATTCTTGACAAAATTGCTTTTTATAGAAGTCAAGCCCACCTAAAAATTTGTTTACCTATTTTTCTCTTATGAGAACCACAAGGGCAATAATCTCTTTTCTTCTCACAGATGGTTATGCACACAGCATCATGATATCAGGTTTTTGCCGAAGTGGGCTTCTAGAAGAGGCAAAAAAGTTGGCTAAAGATTTTGAAGCCACATATGACAGATATGACATTGTGATATTGAATACAATGCTCTGTGCCTACTGCAGAGCCGGCGAAATGGAGAGTGTCATGCAAATGCTTAGGAAAATGGATGACTTAGCAATCAGTCCAGATTATAACACCTTTCATATCTTAATCAAATATTTCTGTAAGGAGAAACTGTATCTACTTGGTCATAGGACCTTGGAGGACATGCATCGTAAAGGCCACCAACCAGAAGAGGTAAAGTTTTGTTATATTATCCATTAATTTTTCTGAAGGGATTTACCGCCATTAATTACTATATTCAGTTTGCCCCTCTGTTTTTTTTTTTTTTTTTTGGGGAACTGGCACATTGTCTGAACTACTCTTTGTTAAAAGTTGAGGTTAATGTGATATTTTAAACAGCTTTATAATAATATAATCATAACAGTACAACTATTGACCGTTCTTTTATTTCACTTGGATCTGTAACTGCAGGCTGAGTATTTCGGTTATCATTACCTTTTCTTGGTTTGATAATTTAATCTGATGCATGTTGACCAGTAGAATTACCTAGCACTTCACAAGCACATTTTAACCCAAAGGATTTAGATTGGAAAAATTTTACTCTATGTTCTTTGGTTCATTCTACCCTAAAGCAATTAATATACCTCCGTTTATAAATGTTTTGACCCCCTGAAGAAACAGGTTGTGTTGTATCTTCCCACAACAAGACTTTTTCTTTACAAAAATTAGGAGTTTCCAATATAAAGTTGGAGCAGCGGCCTTGTTTTTTTTTTTAATAAGTTTGTGTGATTGCATATCTGGTTTCTATATTTCATCTTCAAATTGAAAAATAACACATTAGTTTTTGTGTCTGGAAAATGTTAGCTCCTGGTCAGAATTGATTAATCCACTCTGAATATTTTCGTTACGCAGGAACTCTGTTCATCTTTAATATCATCTCTTGGGAAGATAAGGGCTTATTCAGAAGCATTTTCAGTTTACAATATGTTGAAATATAGTAAAAGAACTATGTGCAAGGCACTGCATGAGAAGATCTTGCACATTCTGATTGCAGGTCGACTTCTCAAAGATGCATATGTTGTTGTCAAGGTATTTAATAATTATTTATTTATCTATATTAAAATTTTAAATTTCTGCTTTGTGTACCATCTATTTTCATACGCTGAAAAGGTTGTTTCCTTGCAGGACAATGCGGAATTAATTTCTCGACCTGCCATAAGGAAGTTCGCTTTTGAATTTATGAAGTCGGGCAATGTGAACTTGATAAATGACGTAATGAAGGCAATCCATGGTTCTGGATATAAGATTGATCAGGTAAAGATAGACATAAATAAAATGCTCGAGTTCAACTGATTGTAGTTTTAGCATCTGTCTTGTAGCTTCACATCATTATATAGAATATGTTAATATTAAATATTATGAGGTAACTAATTTACTGATTTTTGTTTTAGGATCTATTTATGATGGCTACATCACGCTACATCGAGCTACCTGAAAAGAAGGATTTGTTTCTTCAATTACTACAATGGATGCCTGGTCAGGGCTATGTTGTTGATTCATCAACAAGAAACCTTATCTTAAAGAACTCACATTTATTTGGTCGCCAGCTTATTGCAGAGATTCTCTCAAAGCAGCATCTAGTGTCAAAAGCTACAAGATCTCATGCGAACTCGTTCTTTTAAAATAATAAGGAACGATTGTATTGATAAGTAAATATAACAAAAGGAGAGGGTAGAATAGGGGTCTCAAAGAAATTTTAGGCCAAGGAGATTATAAAATATTCTCCAAGACGTAAGATTTTTGGGTTGGGTGATGTCTGATTAAAGATACCGTTATTTGTTAGTATGACTGATCAACCCTTAACATTGATTCAAAATATATGTATATATTTGTTGAGACTAACTATGATAGAAATGGATTTGTTTGTCAAAGGCAGAGAAAGGTAAGGATCTTACTTGCACCCAGCAAACACTCCAAATATTGAAGCCAATGGGAACTTTTGAATGCCTGGAGAAGGTTACTGCAGGCCTGCAGCAAAACAGTATGTAGAAACAGTACGGAGTATGTGTTTACATAGAAAAAAGATGTCAATCTGACTCGAACAAGATCACTGTTTTCTTGGACTTGTTACGACTACGATTTTGTAGACAAATACTATTTAGTACTAGTTTAGTCACACAATGGTATGTGCCCCTTTTAGACCAGAAGTAATTAAGAAGGTAATTATCTGCCATTGAAGTATTGACCATGCTTGTGTAGAAAAGTCCTGTAGTTGGGGTTTCCTTTAGGAGAATATGTCAAGAAGAAACTTTAGGGGATGGCAATGTCAATGGGATATAGATGGATTCTATCTGACCATGCACTTCTTGCTTTTGGATCAATCTCTGAAATGCATTTCCAGACTGCACTGTTACACTTGAACCCACTTCCAAATGCAAGTTGCCAAACCCTATCTCCCCTTTTCACCCTTCCCTTTGCCTCAAGATAGTTGAGTTCATACCACAGAGAAGAAGATGAAGTATTGCCAAATCTATATAAGGTCATTCGTGAAGCTTCTCCATCCTCCTTTTGCAGCTTGAGACTCTTCTCTACCGCATCGATAACTGCTTTTCCGCCAGCGTGTATGCAGAAATGCTCAAAAGCCTTCTTGAAATTTGGCACATACAATTCTTTCCCATTCGCAGGTGGCCAAAATTTCCTGGTGATCCAAGACCATCCATATCGAAGCTGCTCTGAGTAGGGCAGTACAAGCGGGCCTAAAGTTGATATGTTTGTTGTAAGAGCCTTTGCTGCTACCTGAAGAAGATCTCTTGACAGTGAAACCCCGACAATCCCGTCTTCATCTGGTTTCTGAAAAACCGATTGGTAAGCCTGATTATCGGATCCCATATGGGTTCGAACAATGTGCTGAAGCTTGTATTTTGCTATGTGCTTGTCTTTCTTCATGTTGGACAACAATATAGCTGCTCCACCCATTCGAAAGAGAATGTTAGGTATAAGCATTGACTTTGTTTTTCCTCTATATCCATTTGGTGTTACAGCTTCCATGCTGAGAACTAAAGCCGTTGAGTTTTTGTGAACTATCAGGAGATCTCTGGCCAAGCTCATGGACACCATTCCAGCGCTACACCCCATTCCACTCAAGTTAAAGCTCTTTATATTGCTTCTGAATCCAAATCTGTTTATTATCATAGAAGTAATGGAGGGGGTGGGGCAAAACAGGCTGCAATTAGACACCAGAAAGTCTATGCTGTTTGCATCAACTTTGTGCTTCGAAAGTAGTTCATCGACGGCCGCAAAAAGAACTGTTTCGATCTCGTCTCTTGCACTATCGTAGGAAGTATTCGGCGGGATTTCGTGCATAGGAAGCGGCATACAAGCCTCAGGTCCGACTCCGGATCTCTCAAATACTCTCTCTTGGAAATCCATGCTCTCTCTATCGAACAAGTTGCTCAGCTTCACGTGTTCAAGGAACTTGGCAGCTGATGTTCGCAAGTTATCCGGTGGCAAATAGCAGTTGAAATCGATAAGGTAAACATAAGTGGATCTGAAATAGAGTAAGCTAAATACAATAGTGAAAACAGTTGCAGCTACCAGGAAATTGGTGAGGGAGATAAACTTTACTGCTTCTGGACTGAAGATTAGCTTTGTAAATCTGTCCATGGCCACATGCTAGAGTTCAGTTTGATCTCTCTCTCCTATCTATATAATCAGATATGAGAGGGAGAGAGATTGCCAAGAAAAGAAGTATAAATTATTTACATATCTCAAATTTTGAGTCAAGAATTTAATGAGCATAATGTATTTGGATCACATGAATCCTATGAAGAGCAATGATATATAATTGGTTTGATAAATGTATTTCTTTTTGTGAAAAAGAGGACGTTGGGGAGAGAGTTTGTTTAGTCACAAAGTTTGCATTTACAAACAGAAAATTTTGTGCTTCCCTACATAATGCTCTTATTGGTGTTCCACTTCTTCACGGTACTTATTGTCACTTCGATTTGGTATCGAGGGATTAACAACCAAGGTTCAAAATGTCGATGTCAATAGAAATGTCGAGGTCCCGATTTTACGGACATGTCGATGTCGACGAATATTTGGAGAAAAATCACAGAAATTGTGAAAAATAATAAAAAATATTTTTAATTAGTAAATAATACTTTAATTGTAGCTTAATTACGCTACAATTGATCACTTCTAACCATCGCATGTAAAAATATGAGTAACTTATAAAATTGTCGATGTCGATAGAAATGTCGGAATAAGATAATGGAGATTGATGGAAATAATTTGAATTAGTAAATTGAAGTTCAATGTTACTTAATTGTGTGATCTATAACCAAATATAATGTTTTATTATATAACTGAACAAGATATGAAACACTGATATATATACACAATTTAGAAAAGGAAAGGAAAGGAAACGAGGAAGAAGAGAAAGAGAGGGAAAAAGGCAAATCCCCTCCATTGGGTATTGGGCCTATTGGGCTGGGTGGCATTAAGTTTAAGTTTTTTTTTTTTTTTTTTTGAATTTATTGTAGGTATGTATACTTGTCACCTAATTTTAAAAAATGGTCAAATGATTTTGATAATGGAAAAATGTTCATTTCTAATTTTCTAACTGTTTTGCATATTTGTTTTTTACCTTTTCACCCTTCTTATTTAGTTATTATTTTTAAAAGCAAAAAAATCTCAACTTAGAGCTCTCCATCTCTCCTGGATTCTAGTTTTCTTTTTTCTCAATCACTATTGCTATACAATTACTTATATAGATAAAGAATTTACAAAAAAAATAAGGAGACAACATGCCTGATCAGAGAGGGAAACAATGAGAACCTAGCTGACGAGGGGAAGAGAAAATCAATCTAGGAAAATAGATCTTGTTAGACGATGCACAAATTGACGAAATCAAGTGAGGAACAACAGTGGGGCGGGCGATGCAGTGGCAAAGGGTAGAGAGAGACGTATATGCTGAGGTAAAGTGTATTAAAAACATACCTTATCATTTTCAATAATGATTTTATCGTTAAAATTTTACATTTTTAGTATAATTTTCAGTTATGATTTTCTTATATTTTTGTTAGATTTTAGTTTAGTTAATACTTATTCCTTAGATGTGTTAGTATAACTCTACGGTTGAACCATATTTGAATTTAAAAAATATAGGTAAGATTCTCAATTTGAATTATTCAATGAAAAATGGTAGGAAAAAATATAGGTATGATTCTCCTAGGGAAAGTAATATATTTATTTTAAAATCATGAGGGATAATTTCGTAGTAAGGATCTTCCTAACCCTTCTTCAAAATTGAAAGTTGTTTGACCATTTTTTGAAATTGCGTATTTAAAATGGTCATATGTGTTGTTACCCTTTTTTTTTTAACGATATTTGTAAATATCGTCGAGACGTCGATATTTTCGGGACATCTCGACGATATTTTCTCTTCTTCTCATTTTTGGTTATTTTAACTTCTTTTCATTTAATTGCTTTCTTTTTTACCAATTAACTGTTTTGATTTATCTCTTTTTCTAAATTATGATGATTTTTTAGTTGCACATATATACAATTGTTTTCAATTATAATTATGAATATTTATAATTTTCTTTTATTGAAAAATATATATTTATATAAATTATAATTCAATGTTATGTACCTAATTTAAGAATGTTAAACTTAAATAATTAAATTTCATCTTTTGATTCAATCCAAAAAATTTAATCTTAATTTAATTTTCCTAAAAGTTATTTTATTATTAAATTATTGTTTTATTTTATTCATATTTAAATAATAATAATTATATATATATATAGCTAACAAATATTAAAATAGAAGAATATATTTAATTTTACAATGAATCATATTCAAAAGTAACAAAATTATTTATCTAAAAAAAGATAACAAAATTATGAACTGTATTTTAATTCCAACTTACTAAAATAAAATTAGTAAAATAGTTAATATTTAATTTAAATTCACTATATTAATAAAATATTTAATTTTTAAACTAGCCACAGTCAAATAATAATATAAATAAATAAATAAATAAATAAATAAATATATATATATATATATTTTGTTATACAAAGGAAAACCACAAACCAACCAAGGGAACAAAAGAGAATCGACGAGGTGACCGGTCAAACTAAGTCGACCTGAGCCGCCGACCCGACCCGATTCGAGTCTAGCTCGGCCCATTGTCGAGTCGGCATCCTCTCTCTTCTGTTGCCCACGATGCCTTGGGCCTTACGATTGTTATCTGGGGTTCACCTAGAAGTCTCTAGAACTCTCCAAACGACTATAAATAGACTATGAAACCTAACTCTGAGGTAAGCCGAATTTGACCTTTGAATTCTATGACTCTACTGCTCCCCCTTGCTAACTTAGGCATCGGAGCCCGTGTGACAAGTGTCACACCAGTCTAGTCTTGTTCGGTTTTGCAGTTCTTCGAATCCCTGATAATCAAGCTTGGTGCGAACCTCGGGAGGAACTGAGAAAGCATAATCCACGCATCAACAATTGGCGCCGTCTATGGGGACGATTTAGATCCAAAAGTCGAGACGATCAACAAGATCCAAAAGTCAAGATGATCCACAAGTTGATCGAGAACTGCTCGGATTTGAGAAGGGATGATTCAGATCCAAAAATTGAGATGATCAACAAGTCGACCGAGAACTGCTCGGACCTGAGAAGGGACGATTCAGATCCAAAAGTCGAGATGATCAACCAGTCGACCAAGAACTGCTCGAATACGGAGGACTGCTCAGATCCGAGAAGGGACAATTTAGATCTAGAAGGCTAGACGATCAACAAGTCGACTAAGAACTGCTCAGGATCTGAGAAGGCCTAGGATGGAGGGAATCGACAAAATCCAGGATAGATCCTGAGAGAAACAAATCGACAAAATCCAGGACAGATCCTGAGAGAAACAAATCGACATGAATTCTGGAAATAGACCACAACATGTTGGCAACGAACGTCATACGATTAGGAGGTTGCCTTTACCCGAGACAACAGAGGGTCAAATAGGTCGATAATTTCCCGAGCAGGCACTGGGTGATACAAGGCGACGGATTCCAGGTAGAAAGAGCACCAGATAGAAATTTTTGAATGGTAATAGAACAAATTGGCTACTTTAGAAAAGAAGATTGCATGAGTAAATCGAAACATGTCTCTCATTCTTGAGAGACTTGAGCAGAGCCCACCAGCACTTGTACGAGATCCACGAAAGGGCAAAGCTTCCACGAGTGGAGACGCGAAGGAGTCGACGAACAACCCATTGGCACAGAGTAAACTAGTAATGGGAGGGAACGACAAACCACGAAATGATACTTACCGTCAACGGAAAACCCGACCAAGCCTCAAGAACACCACGCTCCACAAAGAAAAATTGCTTAGCCGACATGAGCATACAAAAAGATCACAAAACGGCAGTAAAAAACGAAAAGACAGAAGATACGATCTTGAGGAGATTATAGAGCAAACAGATTCCCCATTCGTGGAAGAAATAATGAGAGAAAAGATCCCTCCAAAGTTCAAATTCCCTACTATAAAGCAATACGCTCAACAGATCCTTTGACCATTTGGACGTGTATAGAGAATGGATGGATCTCTATGGGATGACAAAAGCAATCAAGTGTAGAGTGTTCTCTTTTACGTTAACGAGCATTGCTTGTGTCTGGTTTCGACAATTAAGAAGAAAATTAATCTTCTCATTCAAAAAACTGGCCGAAACATTTGTCACGCAATTCGTTGGATGGCAGAATAGGAGCCAACTTGTGACTTACCTCCTTACCATAAATCAAGAATCAACGAGGAAAGACTACTAGTTAAAGATCTTACCGACGAAATATCACTACTCGCTTTCCTATCTGGCATAAGAGATAAAGAGTCGTCATTCTCTTTTAGAAAAAGACCTCCAACAACCTTCTCAAAAGCATTGACTCGAGCTCAGAAATATATGAGCACAGAAGAATTACTCCATTCAAAACTGGGTCTTGACAAAACTAAAGACCAGTTGTATCAACGAGACCCTTTGGAGAAATTTACTCCAACGACAAACTCATCCGAGCAAGAATCGAGAGAGCAGTGAGTCTTGCACGGATGCTATTACGCTATCTCAAGATGACGCGTGACGGCCTGATCACATAGGACAATATTTCTTTCTTTTTTGCCTAGTTAATAGTTTAGGCTTAAATTTTTGACAATTGCTTATATAGATTATCGTTTACTTTGTTTTAAATTATGTTTGGCCCTACATTTCAGAACATATTTACTTGTTTTTGGTTCTAGCATGTGATATTTAATTAATTCTTTACTACTTGAGCATTTATTTTTATTCTACATGAAAACTCCTCAAGTGGGGGCATGGGTAGATTAATGAATAGCTGGTCAAGGAACTCAAACTGAGACATACTTAGAAGCAGGTCGATAAGCTAGAAACCAGTCAGTGAAACCAGGGAAGAGAATCCCAAAGGTGCTGAAAAATGTATGCGTACAGGCCCAGCAAGATTGAAACAAAAAGTAGGCAAGCTAAACCAATCGAGGGAACCTAGGGTATAAAACATTTGGCACAAGCCAAAATAGGTTAGAAACCCAAGGGTAGATTAAACCCAGGGTAAAAACGGGCAGAAGTCGAATAGGTTAGAAACCCAAGGGTTCCGACTAATCTCAAGGTATAAAACCCTTGGCGAAAGCCAAATAGGTTAGAAACCTAAGAGTAAACCCTAAGGTATAAAGTCATGGGCAAAAGCCAAATACGTTAAAAACCCAAGGGTGGTACCGCTGGTCCAACTAAACGTTAAATCGCAAGGCCAAAATCCTAGCAAGTTGTATCCCAAAGGGCTTAAACAGTTAAAATTAACTGTATGGCAAAGCCCAAGAGG